CCCCAAAACCCCAAAACCCCAAAACCCCAAAACCCCAAAACCCCAAAACCCCATAAATATGGCAATTTTTAATTAATTATCTTCTGCTTTATCAGCACAGATGTCACTACAGTACCATTTCATATTTCGTAGAGTCCCTTTTGTTTTCAAGAAGGTGGCAGAGTCTATTGGGCAGCACAAGAGATACTTTGAGTGATATGCCTTTACTCATTCTGGATTACAAAAGTAATACTCAGTAAGAGACTTATCGAATAAATAATCGGTAGAGTTTCCCAATTTATAACAATTATAACAACTCACTTTTGTAGGAGGCACATATGAGGTTTTCAAAGGCTTTGGAGTAGGAGTAAATTTTGAGGACGGTGCTATAGAACTCGATAATTCAAGGTTATGCATATCATTTTCAATTCAATCCACCTCTGAGTCCATTTCTCCACCTCTATGCTGGATTGTAGTTGTAACCATTTGAGGTTTTGATGGATCATCAGTTCCAATCTGCATGTCATGATGCTCCTTTGCTGGGACTGATTGGCTCATAACTCCACATCCCTCCTCTTCATTAGGATATTCTTCTCTTTCATCAATGGCTCCTCTCCAGCTATTAAGTGCTTGTCTGAACTCTCTTCTTACCTTTTCTTCATCATAAGCTCCCTCTTTAAGATCAACGACTTCGTCGTCTCCTATCCCTCATGAAGTAGCCTGGACAGGTTGCTCTGGAACCTTTGGCTCATCATAGGGCATGGCTTCATAATCTGGCGGCTCTTGTCTAGGAGGAAGTATGTTGTTATCTTCATAAATAGGTTGCTTCTCTTCTTCCTCCAGAATTCTTTTATCCTTTACCTGCTTTATTTTCTTCAAAATTTTGAGCTTATGTCCCAAAGGAATCTCAAGTGTTGAAAGAATGTCCTCATTTAGTTGCAAAACAGAGTCTAAATCGTAGATTCCATTCTCACTGAATAAGGTACAGTACTTCGCTAGCTTTATTCCTTCCAGGAATTCAGCCACCTGAGGATCGACACTAGAACCCTCAGAATTCAAATTATTTCTAATCTGGTTAAAAGGAGTAGATGTTGATGTCCTATGATCAGATTCCTTCGATACTGGTCTAAAATCATCCTCATGGGATGCAAAGTTAATAGCAGTATTTTTCCCTGCAATTTTCTTCAAATTATCTGCATATCCTCTATTTACTGCTAACATTACTGCCTGCCTTCCACTTGGAGTCAGCTTTATTTGATTTTAGTGCCTTTCTTCTTGTCGCCATCATCAAAGGTCATAAGTTCCCTTAGCTGCATCAATTTCTCATTCATTTTCTTGCTCTCTTCCTTAAGCGACTTGGAGTTCTTCTTAGCTAGGTTATATGAACTCATTTTGTTATAATTTTCAAATTTTATTAACCAAAATGGGGTTTTGGGGTTTTGGGGTTTTGGGGTTTTGGGG